CACTGTTTAAGCATGTTCTAGGATTATCTTGATCGTTGACCAGGTCCCAGTTTGAGACACCTCAGTAGTGTGCACCCATGAGCTTGCAAGCATAGAGTGAAGCCACGAGTTTCAGACTGGGATGAGAACTCAGAATCCTCAGATCACTGAACTGGCATTCAAAGGTGTGAATCACATAATTTCGTGGACGATGTTAAGTGACACACTAACAACGTTGGATACCGGCTTAGTGGTGTAGAGATTATGCGGTTATATTCAAAACCGAAGGTCCTATGTTCCATTCCTAATGATGGTATAGTGGATGCACAGAATTGAGAAGTCCCGAAATTGAAATAAAAAGTATATCCGATACTTCTAATTTTACAACATTGATCAGACATCGACTAGCTCATGCTTTGAACTAAAAATTGCGTGGAAGTTACAGAGGAATCAGTCAATGATATAACGGGAACGGAAGATAGCAAGTGAAAATTAAACTTTTGAAGAACTCCAGGTTTATTTTTTAACGATGACAGCAACGGTGGGACAAGTTGTACGCGTAATCCGTTTCATGATCAATCGTTTCTCTACTGATAATCAACTGTAACTACACTGAAAGTATAATGATATTCATCAGAATGTAAATATGATTTTGGTCACAAGTTTGCATAGTCAGTAACATTGCATTCTACACAGCATGATATTTCAGAATATTTCGCTAAAAAGAACGGTCAACCAATTGATTGGATTTCCCATATCGGTCATTCAATGATCGGTGGAAAATGTCGTATTTGTCTAGTCGTTCAGTGTTGATCGAATTGCATTAAATACTGGTGAAAGTGAACAGACAATGAGTGTTCTATATTTGGAAATGAGGTGATTGAAGTAAGTAAGCACAAAATCCTCATTGACTTCCACTTCTTATTATCAGCAATCATCAGTAGGGTGTATTTACAGTGTAGGTAGGCAAATATCTCACTGTTGATATCAGAGAGTGTGAAACTGAATGGAGTGGTGTTCGGAATATCACAGAAAATGTTAGCATGTCTTGGATTGTGGATGTGCTCTCGTGACAAGTGACAACTATCAATAAATATTACTCAACCAGTCTCTGACCATCTTTATCCGTCCAACTGACTGCTTGATTTCTTCCTCTTGTCTAATTATCATTGTTTTAACAATGTCTTCATCAGTAAAACATCACAATGATCATTAGTTCCAAATAATTGAATAGAGATGACTTACATGTGATAAATGTGATAAAATAATATCCTTTTCCAAAGTTTTATTTATTGGTTGTTTGTGGTATGATGACAACCGAAAGATTGTATATCCACCAGAAATATGCGTCTCCTTATGAATACGTCATCGAAATAAATTTCAAACACATTCAAATCGATTGATTGTTATTGATCACCTGACAGACATATCGATCAATCACACACAAACTAATTTCTACGTATATGATGAATAAAACGATCAATCGATTGCCTGTTTGACTAATAATTCGTTCAGGTAGAGGAGTTTGACAAATTATGATGTTGTAAAATCTAATATTTACTGCACGCGAATTCTGGTCGAGCTGACCGTCTACTACTCAGTAATGTACACATACTATCTCATAATTAATTAGTGATATATTATCGGTCAGAACATCCAATTTTCAATCAATGCATTGAAAGTCTGAATCCTGTCGTGTTTATCTCATTCACATAGGCTAATCCTACACTGATAGTGTAGATGCAAGTCTATGAATCATGATTTCGTCCAATAGTGACACAAAAATTGATCGGAGACTCTTCAGGTGGTCAGTGTGATGAAATTCAATAATACTTGATTTATTTCTCAAACTGTCTACAGCTGAAACCATCTGCCACGATATCAAAGAATGCTCACAGCTATTCCAGTGCACTGTTAATATTAGTAAGTTAGGATTGTGATAAAAATTCCAGTGGAATAACTAATGCACACTACTAGAGAAAATACACAATAATTTCACTTGATGTCTAGTAGTTCTACGATTGATGTGTTATTTCACCAAATAACTGAACAGATTTCGAATTTATTTTTTCGAGAAACAGTTGATAAGAAAAGTGGTGAAAGTATAGCATATGCAGGAGTACAAGGAAGGTGACTGCTATCTAGCCAGTGTAAATTGAGAGAACTGATTTGCAGCCATGTTTATTGTGAATATTCTCACAAATGAATACTTTTATTAATAGCGGTTCATTGAATATTAAATGAACTAATGAGGATGAAGAATTCAAAAAAGCAATTACTGTTACGTGCGAATGAAGACCGAACGATTGATGCATGAAATCTGGTTGTATAATAATTGAGTAACTAGACGACTATCAGGCTTATATTATATTTTTTATATCATAACGTTTTCTATAAACTCATAACCCATACGCGATTAACGATTCATATTTTCAGCTGAGGTGGATCAACGGGAATTTCAAACAGTGAATTCCTATTTTACTAACCCTTTATTATTCACAGTCTTACTCACTCTCTCTCCACTGAAAGTCAATTTTGGCTCATTAATGTATATAGTTATGAGTTTGCATTTAATGGTGTGGTGTGGTCTTGTTTTGCAAGTATATAAGAGAATATCTGAAATATGATATTGAATGCTGAACTGGTAGTTGTTAGTGATGGTTCTTTTCGGGCCTTTGTTCTTCCTCTTTGGTTGCAGTAAGTCAGCAGTGGGTCATTCTCTGAGCATACATAGAGTAGCAAGTCTCTCGTCCTTATTGTGTATTGGTCACTCAAAAATAATCGATGTATTCATTAGTTAGAGCAAGGATAGAAAAATGACAATGCTCATACATGAATTATTCATGTCACTAGGGTGATAAAAATAGTCTTGCAATAAATGTTTTATAGGTGTGATGATGAATTTTCTATGGAAATGTTTATTTCTTTTAGCTATGAGAAAGATTCAGTAAAGAATTCTTGGTGTGAATGAGGCTATATTTCGATTAAACAACTTACGAAGAAACATCTCTACCGTATTAATAAAGTCGAAGCGTTAATGATATACATTTGAAAATGACTGAACTGCAACAAAGTTTCATAACTTCTATCACAAAAGGCTGGTGATTTGTATAAACTGTCTACTTACTAACTGAAAAGCGGGTTTAAAATCAGGTGATCGCTTTCTGAATTGTTCCAGCTCATGCCTATAGTACATACATTTACAAGAGAAAAATTGATAGTTTTCTTTTTTTTAAACATTCCTTTTGCTTTCATGATAAACAACCGTTTGCGATCGCTGAAAAGACTTGTTACCAGCCTGTATTTAAGCTGCCTCCGCATCTCACCGTCAGACAGGATGAGTTTTTGAGCATCTATGAATAACTGTACTTGGATTATGTACCTGCGTTTCGGAAACGCAACACATAAACGGTGCAAGATCCCAAAGCCTGAGCTAGGTAGCCGGTTGTCTACTCGACAGAAGGCTGGTGCAATAAAATCTACAACATGTAGTTCAGAGCGTGGTTTCAGGAGACCAATAATAACATTTTGTGTACACACATCATGAGCATTAGCGACATGAGGTGATAAAGATAAACGGGGAGGGCAAATTGAGGAGAGAAGAGAATTATTAGGAGGTGGTGGAAATGTTTCGATTGTGAGCAAGTTGATCTCGTATATTGTGTGGAGTGAGAAAGCAGACGTCAATCTTCTGATGCCTACACTGTGGAAGAGTGTTTCTTCAGGCACCAGAAGTGAAAGTTGAATAAGCGTTAGTCATGACGAACTAGGAGTGTGACCACAGAATCAGAGCGAGAACTGTTCAAAACCGGTCACTCACGACCTTTTTAATGGAAGTTTTTATTTTGATTGCTGTTCTAAGACGTTACTCTTGTAAGAGGATGAGAAATAAGAACTTGCGTTTATTTATTAGACTAATCAGAACCTCGAATTCACACGCGTGATTCACAGGTTGACCACGGAGCAGGGTTCCAAAGGTGTAAATTACTCACTCCAATAAATCCACCGTATTGCGTGGTCTCATCCACTGTTCAACTGATGATTGCAATCATACTCAACAATCTCCACAACCATATACTGATGGTTATCATGTGCTCACTAGTGAAGAGTTTCCAGAGGAAATCATCAGAGTCCTAGAAGGAAGTCTTGACCAGTAAAGCTCAACTGTGTCTGCATTGAGAGAGGCACTTACCCAACAAACACTATGTTGAATTTATCCTCTCTCCTTCAAAACATCTTATTTTTCAGTACACCTTCGAAATACGCCTTTTGTTCTGTTTTTACGAACCGTACTCTCAAATGCTCAATCTTTCCTATAAGCATGGTCACTGCATTATGTTGGTCTATTTACTGTTCATCTTGTTAAGACTTCTTCGTCATGCACCTCAGCAACTTGAATCGCTCAATATTTATTCCACACTTCATTTTACCCATTATTCACTAAGAATCTAACCAGCCAACTAATTGACACAAACACTATCACTCAAAATGGACTAACTACATTAACATAAATTGAATGAACGTTACCTATAAGGAGATTACACAGTCAATTCAACGATGAACCTTATATTATGGTATGCAGTAAAGAAACAGTATCATCTACTGATAGAAATGTACGTCTAGTAAACACGAAATATAATTGTCTATTAAATGTGAATTAACAGACACTCAGATTGCTGTCCATTTAATTTATCACTTCGTTCCTAGTTGATGAATTAATTAATTTTAACTCCGAACTCATATAACTGTGCTGAGGAGAGTCTTGTTTACTAACGCAAACTCTGGTTCTCTATATTTGGTCGACAATTCGACATCACCAATCATGCGTCCCTTACAATGTGTACGACCGATCGATTGAGTATGTTGAATCTCAAAACCATTACGGTAAACCTGATTCAAACAACCACAGAGCAATTAAAGTAAAGAATAATTCATAGTAGTTTGTACATCAAAATTGGTGGCAACTAAATAGTTATGAAAATAATAATGATAATATTTGAAAACCATTTTTTTCAAGAACAATTCGCACGAACACTGTTATTATCAGCATCATCAATATATACATGTATTCAGAGTGAGTATATGGTGACAGTCATAATTTTACATGAAACGAGAAAAACAGATAGATTTTTGGTAAAACCGAGATAGAAACATGAGATAATAAGTGAGGGAAATAAATGAGTCTCCTATGAAAGTCGATAGGTGAACAGACAAGTGAAATGAAATACAGTTAGAGCAGAGGGGGAGTGCGAGAGCGAGTGAGTCTGAAGGAGAAACAGTTTGTTCACTTCACCATATTAATTTTATATTGCATCTAACTAGCTGTGAACTATTCCCGTTTTGTGGTGTTTCCTGTAACGTAGTCTCAGAATGTGTAAATACTGTTTCAAATTATTCAAAAAACTGTTTCGTTTTGTTTCTTCATGACGGGCTAGATGATAAGATCCCTAAAACGAAACGAGAAAAATAATATGTCAAATAAAGATAATACTTATAATAAGTAGGATAAAAATAATATCATCAATTCATTTTTTATTTAGCATGATATAATATTCAGTAGAATTAATATGCACTTCACTGCTATGCAATAGTTTCTGCAACTTGCACTCACCCTTCTTACACACTTCACAAATGCAACGAAACATGGTTAATTAAGTCGAATATTTGTGTAAGGAAATAGCAATTATTACAACATTGAATAAACTTTAAGTTGATCAATGTAAACAGTCGTTATCAGCTGCATACACTTGTATCACACAATTCATGTTCAGTTGTAGGCTGTCGTACACACCACAATGCGCCTCACTTCTGAAAAACAGTACACTGATATGGAATATAGTAATTGTAGCGTTATCTCGAATAGTAAAGGAATGCAAGTGGTTTCAGCTAGCCAGCCAACCAGACAGCCTGTCAGATATCATTAAGCTGTTCATGTCTCTGGTTAAATCCAATCATCTAGTGTTTTAAATGATATAGTCTGAGACTAATGAAAATAGACTTGCAACAGAATTTTGTAGTGATGGTGCTGTTCAGAAGGACAATGAAAGCTCCACAACGAAAACATCCAGCTCACAGTGTGGTGTGTGCTACTTATACGAACGATATAAGTAGTAAAAGAAGGGACGTGAAAGAGGTCTCACGGTCAGAAGAGGAAAACGGAAAGCAAATGGAGCAAAAGCAAGAAGTAAATGGAGTACCAAACACCCGAGACCATGGGATCTTCATCCTGTAAAGAAGCAGCGACAATAATTGAGAAGACTGAGGCAGGCGCGGATGAATGTATTGTGCAAATTTACACTCTGAGTCAATTAAAAACGAAAACATTACATTGAACACTCTATTTGCACACCATCTTTGAGTCGTGACTTCCAACGCTCCATCCTTCTTCCATTCCTGCTGTTGCTTCCTTTCCTTCCTGTTGGTACTCCATTTACTTCTTGCTTTTGCTCCATTTGCTTTCCGTTTTCCTCTTCTGACCGTGAGACCTCTTTCACGTCCCTTCTCATACTACTTATATCGTTCGTATAAGTAGCACACACAACAACAGTACGAAACACCACCACAGACTTGCATTCATTTGACGCGAAGAAATTATTCACATTCAGTCTACCAAAGTATAATGAAGAAATTGGAGTACATTCAGTACGATTGTCAGCATTCTTAACAAAAGTGTATGTACACCCTTGTCCGCATGTATTGGTTGATATAAGGGAAGTGATGTGATTGCATTTCATTGCTAATTAATGTTCACATAGGCAAAGCTGAATAGAGCGTCCACTTTGTCAAATGCAGTATTTTACGAAGTCCTATTCCAAATGGATTCAGCAATTTCTATCATGTCTTTTATATGTTGTACGAAGATCCGTTAGTTTGATCTTGTACTTGATTTCACTTCTGTTCATGGATTTAGTCGTTATTTTTTACTGATAGCCGTTCTTCCGGAAGATTGTTTATCAGACATTGTTCTTCAACTGTTCATGCTTCATGCGTACTGCCGTGAGTTTTCGCTCGAATGAGTAAAGTTTGTGTGCAGTAGATTTAATGTGTTCTTGTGTTGTTGCTATGGTAGTTGAAAATCAGGTCTATGTGAATCGGCTTCCGATATTGTTGAGTTTCTAAGTTTTTCTGTGTCAGTTCTGGTGACTTATACAACCAGAAATGATGTTGTTGTTGTTTGTCTCCTTTTCTATTGTGAATTTTATGCCATCTAAGATGTTGTAGATCGAATTGTTAGAGTTTCTCCAACTCGTTCATTTTAATCACAACCAATGCGTCGTTAACAAAACGAACCCACATTTTTGGCTTGATCACTGGGAAAATCGATGCTTCAAATTTCTGCATCATAGCTGCTTCTGTAATTAATGATATTGCTGCCGTCTCGATTTCGTGAACAAAGCCCATGCTTATTACGACCTCCCTGTCAGTGAGTATTTACACCTTGCCATCTGAGAGCATTTCCAGAGAGAGAGAGAGCGATCTCACCTCACTCTCACTATACCAGGGCATTGGAGAGACAAAAGCCTCCTCCCTACAGCAAAGATTATTCAGTGAGAACGATATAGGATTCACAAAGCAGCACAAATTTCAAATATTCCTTTACTTATTACGCCCATTATACACAAAAAAGCTGTTGACAGTAGTTTGAAACTAGGATAACTTAGAAATATGAAACAAAAGAAATTCACAACACTTACACGATTTCGAGATGTTCGCAACTGTGGAAGATCAGTCCATGCGTCGTTGTTTATTGCTGGATAGAAGAACGAAAAGTAAATGAAATTTGGCAACTTCGAACGTTCAAATGTTTGAAATCATTAGAAATTGTAATGATGAAACGAAAAGGTGAGTTTCAGCTGTTGCTTAAACTACGTTATCAAACATCACGGAAGCTCTCTGGGGTGATAACAATGATCAACAACAATACCCTCCTGACTCTCAATATGTAAACTATACCTTTTCTTTTGCCTACACAGAAAATATTCGTCATGCGGGGGATGACATTTATTTATCATCAGATTACAGCTATTATTATTCCACTGACAATTTATGGCGTTTAGCTGTTGATCGTCTCACACATAACTAGGGAATGTTTCCTAGTTGTCAAATAGACAGCCCAACGTCGTCAGCAATTTTACTCCTTCACCTTCACTCTTATCATGATGAGAATGGATGCGCCCTAGATAATAACAACATTGTCTTCAGTACAGAAATTTACTATTTATTTTAAAACTAAATGCGGACCATTTCAAATTTCACTGATACATTATCAACACAACCAGATCAAACTATCAACATACATTCAATTGGAAATGATTCGAATTATCGAACGACGGTGTTTGAATTAGATGGTAGTAGGTTCTAGTGCCGGATTGGACATCAAATCTGTAAAGCAGGTACATCCAATCAAACCTGAGATCCGAATTGAACAAAACACACTTGCTGGATGGAAGACCACACTACTAACCGTATTCTCTTTATTCTATGTTATCAAGATAGAAGCCATAACAGCGGAAGTAGTAAACGTGGACTGATAACAATTTGAACACTACGGAACACTGCACAAGCCTCCAATCTTAGCAAAAAGACAAACAAGAAATACACACCCACACACTACCAGTACGAACGTTTAGGTCTTGATGTAAATGTGAGAGCTTCAAACAACAACATGGCCAACATTTTGTGTTATTCAGATTTCCAAATACATCGGTCATGCAAGTCCTGTAATATAAGTTGAATTTCATTGCTCGTCATCATGTAAAGACTACATGGCCTGTTCTAGCTTTTCAAAAAACCAGTTAATCTGTTCTACTCAAATCACTATTCACTATACGTCTTTTGATCTGGTTAAATTAGTCTCTTTCAACGTTTGACGATTTGTTTGAGCTTGTGTGCATCGCTCAGTTAACTGATCACATCACTTCAACTGACTCATCTCTGACAGTAAATGATTAGTTAGATCTGAGGAAATGCAGTTCGTCACTCACTCACCAGCTCCGCTGTGTTTCGCTCCTCATTCTCATATATAGTCTGCGAACGCCAGCGTAGGGCAACAAAGAAACAATGCAATTAATCATAATTTACCTTTTCTATTTCCATTCGTATTGTTTATTTGATTTCGAGTTTGTTCGTTAACTGTATTATCATCATCATTCTCCAATTCACGGTGTAGATCATATAAAGAACTACACTCTCTAATTGGTATACGACAATGTAAACATGTGGATTGTCGTAAACCATTGTCGTCTGCCTCCAATTTATATGTAACCAAATTTTCCGTTTGTTGTGCTAATCGTCGTTTCTCCTTGAAGAAACAAACAGAGAAAAGAATGAGAGTTGGTGATCAATTATGATTCAAATGTGTGTATAACGGATATGTATTGTAAATGATATTACCATAGTTTTGCATATTTCAGATAGATGATCAAGTCTCCCTTCCTTGCACAATGTACACAGGAATCAAATGTAAATAGTAATTTCTTAATTGTATATGAATGTCGACTGTAAGCAATGATATGAATGTTATCTTTCTCATAAAAACAACAACATTAAATACTCAAAGTTGAGTGATAAATTGATTATTAGAGAATAAGTATGTTCGACTATTACATTTAATCTCACTAAAGATCATAGCTAATAACCTGTAGAATTCGATAACATCATGTACCACGAATCAGATTGGATGTTTAGCAGTGACTGTATTTTCTGGACGATAGTTTTGTGTAACTCTACGAGTTCCAATTCCATACATTAGATCTGTTTCATATTTGTTTCGAAAATGCTAACTGCAATCCTATCTAGTGAGCTATCCGGTTTGAAGACATTTTGAGGAGGTTGATTTTATTCGTTAGCTGTATTCACCATCAGTAGTGTACTTCTAAATCTCGCCTGGAATAAAGTCGAATATCTTTAATTCTCATGAGAAACACATCTTAACCAGTTGAAATGGATCCATGTCAACTACAATTTACAGAGTACAAACCAATCTTGAAAAACGTACGAGAAATAGTTGTTTTTCTGCTGTGTGCAACTTGTGATATTCTGCTTCTAATTCAGAGAACAGTTCAATTTGTTCATCATGTATACGATGATGTTGGGTTCCAGATTCGTGTAAAAGTTTGATTATTTTATTTGCTACTTTATCACGTTTGTTTAAATCATTTTCTCTTTCATCCAAGTATTGTTCGCGTTCTGCTAAGAATACCTCTCCGCGAATAAGATCATGTCTGAAATTAACAAAGGTGAAGTGATCGAACAAGCACAATCAAATGTGAAAAAATGAAATGAACAACCACACCTACTAAATTCATTCAAATAAAATCGTACTTACTGTGTAAGAGTAAATTTTTACTGTACATTTATCAATCGAATTCATTAAGAACAATACAGGCAGTTCTGAATTTATCACCTTGAAAGTATCATTAAATACTGTTTGTAATGAAGAGGTTTATGTGGAATGTAATATTATCCCAGATGAAATCGCGAACTAATCCAAGCCAATTCAACGAATTCACTGAAGAAGCTAGCCAATAGGAAGCACATGATAACTGTCGGCAAGGGGTTCTGCAGATTGTTGAATTTCATTGAAATAATGAGTAAAGACCGTGAATAATGATTCGAATTATTGTAGATTGATTGAAGTTCGACATTATTACTGTTTCATGATGATTCGGTGGTCTAGAGGTCAAGCATTCACATACGAGACAGAAGGTTCTTTGTTCGATTACCTCGATGAAGCGGTTGTGGACGCCCACTTCTCATCAGTCCCATATTAGTGTGGTGCCTGCCATTTGTATTGTCACAAACCTATGTACAGTCCCAAATAAGACAAAACGCGCGTTCTGAATGATACTACTAGCCACATCCCCATCTATTCTATACAAATCAAGAAAATCAATCAACCGATTGATCGACCAATCAAGCAGTTAATCGCAGAGATTATTGTTTCGAGGATTGAATTACTAGTCACTGTCTAACAGATTAATAGATAATCGTGGGATTAGACTGATTGAATGCAGAAAACACATAATTAATTTGTCAAGCATAGAATGAATTCCATCGACTGTTTTTATGGTTAATTCATTCATTCATTTTCATCATTTTCGATGTGGAAAAAGCAAATAAGAAAGCGAAACAAACAAATACAGAATAAAATAATGAATTACCTCACAATTTCTAATTCTTGTCTAGTTTCTTCTAATTGACTTTTGTCAATACTGAGTTGATTCAGTTTTTCATGTAATGATTGACGTTCCAATGTTATTGTCTGTTTCATTGAATCAATATCTGCTTGAGCCTAGATAAGAAAGAGGAGAGTAAGTGGATACATGAAAGTCAAGTGTCGATTAACTCAAACATAAACCGAATGAAATGCAAGGATTGGAAAATCTTTCCCACAAAATCACTAAACTACTGAACACTAATTCAAGGACAGGAATTCAACTTTCATATAGATTCATCTGTACACTTGCAATCACGAACTAACCTTTCTTAGTAAGACTAGTATTGTATATGTGGAAGGAAGTACTGGATGGTGGCTGATTTATGTTTGTGTAGGATTATTTAGTGGTGTGCATCGATGACTTGTTCTACTCAATGGCATTGGAATTACAGCACAGTTGTAAGTATCATTCAATTACGGAATTATTGTTTTCAGTGCAGCACACAAAGGACTTGTACTATTCACATGGAAAACTTATTATTAGTCATACTCATAATCATACTCAGTTCGTCCTATTCGAGACTGCATCTCAGTTGATGTTCATTCTGCGATTCCAATCCAAGAAGGTTCACTGTGAACGGAGTCATGCTATCCACTCAACTGATGATTTGACATAGCCAGTCACTGGCTTGTGCAGTCGGGTGAAGAATAATTCATGTGCACCGGTTATTTGAATATTCCTACCGATGTCACAGAGTGAGCATCAACTCTGACATTTGGGTATGTACATCCAGCTGTTCAGTCTCGAATAGAATGAAACATGTGGCCTGGATTCCACTGCTAGCCACTATTCATCTCTCAGAGTATAATGAATAGTAATTGGTAGCAATCGAAAAGAGGAGATGACAGAATTGACTAGAGATTGCTGGTCATTGGCCTATGTGTGCTCCACGAGGGTATCAGGTGTAAACATGTAGAACCTATCTTCACTTGCTCCGTAATTAAGTTAGCCATAGGTTCTTAATTATTTATGGAAGCACATAATTCCAAGCAGTTGAATGATAATATCACGTTAGTCGATTGAAACAAATTAAAAACACAGGATAATTTATGGTAATAAATGTGTATTGGGAAAAAAGGCATCTCAGACAGACGTGTGATGATTGAGCAGTGATTATGCCATGTACTGTGTTATCATCATCAATGAACATGTAGTGCCTCCACATTTATTTGCATCCGCTTACATTTAATTTGCTTAAGCCCTTTCGATTAATTTCTTTAACCAAGCCATTTGCTTAGCAACAACTTGTATGTACCATTGGCTTTTATAATTGTATGGTTTGTATGAGCTTGTATGACTGAGCATTGCTTAACGCCTACGCGCATATGCATCCTATTCGCTTTAATATTAATCTCTTAAATACCACGATGACTCAGACATTTTCCTTTGTATATATACGAACATTTTAATCATATTAATTCATTCGCCCATTCGCATATTCGCTCGCTAGTGTGTCTGCCCAGTCTGTCTGTGTGCTGCTATCATTATTTGTGGTGTGTTCCGAATAAACGTATACGATACTTTGAATTCATCTTCTGATTCATTAACCGTCAGACGTCATTTGGTAAAGATAGTCTGAACGATCTTATTACGAAACTTAAGAACACCTCAAATCGGCACACTACAAACAAACACCAAACAAAATACAAACAAATTTATACTTACACGTTGATTGATTTCAATTATTCGTTCATAATTCCGTGCTTCAAGGTCGTCAATCTCATCTCTAAGACTAAAGAAAATAGACAAATTTATTAACAACGTAAACAGTAGAACGGGAAATAGTTTTCGGCCAATGTAGCGGCTTTGGTTAATAATACACTTGATTATAGACACTGGAATGATTGAGTTGTCTATTAAATATATTGTTTTATACAGACAGTGTTAACAGTTTGGATACCGAGTAACTTCAAGGCTAGCGATTTCAAATACTACAGGCTGTAAGCAGATGACAAGAACCTGACGAACAAATAACACTGTATTCATGTCATTCTGTTCAAATGTTTGTTCTTACTCTCTTCGACATCATTATGAACGGAACTGTCAGTTTGATGCGAAGAATATGGTTTGAATAAGAATATGGTGTGAAATTACAGAACGACTCAAAATCAAGAGAAACATTGAAAATTTGACTGCATTCACTTGAACTACTTCAAAGGCATTTGAACCATGTCACATTCGATCTGCGAATACTGATCGTAGAGGCACCATCAGACTACTTACTTACTCTGTATCCATTAGTACCGCTCAGATGGTCAGTGACAGTCAATGACTTCATGAATTGATGCTATTGATTTGGCAGCTCATAACATCCTTCCAACTTACTGCTAGTACAGTTGGCATTAGACATACAAGTAGGTGGTTAAAGTGAATGATCGGAATCAAGTTGCGAAATCTCGCTTACATTCAGCTTGATCGTGAACAGTTCATTCACTTAAGTGTGACTGATCGATGAAGTTGTCTAGACAGTCACCGAAACGTTTATCAATCGAATTTCCATTACTACTAAACGAGTGGCTGGCTAACAATTAGTCTCGGTTATTCATTATGATTGAAAATAAAAAGAATTAAAAAATATTCCCGTAAAACCAACCAACCAACCAGTAAGCAATCACTAGATACAAACAACGTAAACAACAAAAATGTAACTCATCAATGATGTAACAAATTGAATCAGAACATACAGTCTCTCCTTATAGTGTGCACTTTCTTTCAGTAAATCCAGTTTAGTTCTAAAAAAAATAACAAACATTGTCAGTGGTATATAACTCAGTATATTACAATAACGAGAATTGATTTATTCATTGAGAAAATGTCGTGGACGTTAGGTCCCCAGAACGTACTTGGAAAAAGTCCTAATTTTGTAATTTATTTCTGAAATTTTGAATTTTTATGTCTTCGCGCAAAGAACACCTATTTGACCTTCAGCTTGCATTCCCCACTCGAAAAAACCTAGACTGTCATTGGTTGACGGATTATTTTAGTACGCTGTCTTGTGGTCCCCATCAAGGGCGTTGTATCATTACATAAATTAGCTTGAGTTGTGTGCTTGTCGACGTCGTGCTATCTGGTCCGCCTGGGGAATACATTTCTTTACGTCTTATCAATAGTTCTTTCTCCAGCTAGCGAGGCCTCAAACGATCGTATAAGAGTAGACTATCGTGTTGTGAAAAATTTCACAAGAACAAATAACAAATAAGCGTATTGGCAATTTCTGTTTGTTCAACTTGAGAAGAAAGTTATGAAGAGAGTTGGTTGATCATCAGTGATTATTGGTTGTTTATCATTTTCATCGACAAAAGAATACGACCAGTTTAGCCGCTTCTGTGAAATTGTGTCCATTGAATATTTGTTGGAGTTTGTTTGGTGGTTGGTCCTATGGAACTGGAAACTTTGACTACAATGGTCCGTGGTTTGACTTCGATTTGGACCAACGGTTAAATACGTGAGGAAAGTTACACTTCCGTTCACTTTGGCATAGTACACTTAGACTAACCCCCTGTTTGTTAGATGGCCATCATCAGAAGATAAATACGGATTCCGTTGAGTGAGTTCATTTTATACAATACGCAGACACGCATATCTTCGTGCGAGTCTAGTCGCATTTGTGTGAGTATGTGCGCTTGACCGAATTTCGCATCCTACACGTACATACTCCTCTCATTAGCTTAAATGTTAGTTGCTCAAATCACTCAATGATCCATTCGTCTTCCTATAAATATATGTGTACCGAAAAAGTTTCACTGATTGATTGTTTGGCAATCGAAAATCAGGATATTGTTGAGTTTTTCATCGAAATAACCAACTGATCAATGTTAGATCAGCAAGCTGGAGGCACTGGCACTCTGATTCGTCCTCGGATGTGACTCATCGATAGTGGTCATCCACTAACCCACACATGGGAACCGAACTCAATGCCTTCCAGTTTTCAGTGGTGGTCTAACGTTAATCGATTCATAGTTTCAGTGACACTCAACAATTTACTCTTTAAAATATAACAAAGGAAATCTGATTTTCATATTCCCCACTCAAGTAAAACTTACTTTGAAATTTGCTTCATAATTAGTAGTTCTTCACGATGATGCATTTTGCTTAATCGTAATAAATTAATTAAGTTATCACGTTCCAATTCAAGACGTCGAACTTGTGCTTGCAATTCCATGGATTCGTAGTTTACATATTTCTATGGCAGAGAGAGAAGGAGAGGAATAGATATACAGTGAGAGGGAGAATTCTGATTTCATTCAATAAGGAAAAACACCATCAGATGAAGTACTAATGTGATGGATGCTACTCACAAGGTGGCATTAGAGTAGTATAAAGGAAAGCGTTGCCCGGAAGCTGTTGCCAAATAGCAAAGTATCAGGAGATCAGTCAGCACGGTGCGATCAAGGTATGTGCCAAACCAGAAGATATGTGAGAAAAGACAGTCAATATTGTACTTCTCTTTCATTCAAATGAATGTTTGAACATCGTGAATGCATATTTTGTCAGCAATCTGTGTTCTCTCCACATTTACACATACTTCATCTGGCGAGCATTGACCTTTCATAAGTTACGCTAGCTACATTTATCTGCTTGATTAACAACAAGCAACGTTCAGTTTAACATGGGTATACAAGAATGTACTTGATTATCAATAAAAGGTGACGACGAGATGAAACTGTAACATGAGAGTTAGAGGTATAGAAACTGTACATCATTCGGTACATTATTTGTCGCACGGTAGAATATTCAAGATAGAGTATATCCGTGGCTTGAAATCTTACGATACACTGTTCGAACGAGAAATCATGAAGAAAAGTGTGAAACTGTCTATAATTATAACTTACTCTGTCAAATGACGATGATGATAAGAAGGCGATGGATGATGTTGAACGTGGACGATCAATATCCAATTTATCGAAATCACTTGATCGTTGTTGAGACACTGATGATGAAGAAAAAGCATTTTATTAAATCATAACTATTAAACATTAGTTTGTTTCTCATGTGAAAAACTGTCTGGTTAGAATTTATACAGGCATTAAGAAATTATCAATCAAATATATATATATATATATATATATATATATATATATATATATATATATATATATACTAATGCAATCTAATCAGCTTCATAACGTGAATTCGTTCAATTAACATATTTAAAAATACTGATGGTTTTCTGTTAACTGACATATATTTGGAAACAGTTGGTATCCAATGGTGCTGCGAATATCCAGTCGCAGTCAATCTGTGGTGTTACGAATTTCCGGAAATAAACACCATTGGATGTGAACTTAGTGGTCTGGGATTTAGCGTTCGCACGTGAGGTCGAGGGACTTTGGTTACATTGTCGTGGATGCACAAGACTGAGGAGTCACCTACTAGAATGAAACCGTCGTCGAAGTCCCCAATGGTGTTCTAACAGAAATCAGTCCGTGATTTCGACCAAGGAAATATTCTTTTCTTAACAAGCACAAATTTCATGCATTGAAAAAACTGTAATTAATTTGTCAACATTTTCTTACTTGCAATTCAGTCGATCGATTGTAATGGTGAAGGACGCGGATGTGACTGGGATTTTGTAGATCCAACTGATTTTGAATTGTCAATTAAATTGTTATCAGTCAGCTGGCTGATTGAGAATTTGATTTGGAAGACTTAAAATATGTGAAAGAGAACGGTAATGTGAATGATGGAAGAGAATAAATTTGTTCAGTTACACTCGTGTAAAATATATATATATATATATACTGTGGGAGATCATTTGTCTGGGAAGTGATGAAATTTTCAATCTATTTAGTGATGTTTTGATTAGATTTGATGATTACGTATTTTGATGGCTATTTCGATATTTTTATTATTATTCCTGACCCTCATTTGGACTGTAATCTGATGATATATTCTGCTCCCTTCAGAGACTATAAACGATTATGTGTGAACCCACAACTCTTTTCCTTTTCTAAAATTGATTTTGTTGACCGTTGGCAACATAGTCTAACCAAATCATAAACTGTATGTTTCAAAGATAAGTCCGTCACCTGGAACGCATTCAGTGTGTCGTCTATTACTTCATTGATATGAAACTACACTGAAAGTATAATGATATTCATCAGAATATAATTAGGATTTTGGTCACAAGTTTGCATAGTCACTAACATTAAATTCTAGACCGCGTGATATTTCACAAAGAACAGTCAACCCGTCCATTGGATTTCCCATATCGGTCATTCAATGATCGGTGGAAAATGTCGTAATTTCATTGATTACTGGTGTAAGTGAGTAGACATTGTCTGTACTATATTTGGAAATGAGGTGATTGAAGTAAGTAAGCACAAAATCCTCATTGACTTCCACTTCTTATTATCAGCACTCGTCAGTAGGGTGTATTTACAGTGTAGGTAGGCAAATATCTCACTGATGATATTTGAGTGTGAAACTGAATGGAGTGGTGTTCGGAATATCACAGAGAATGTTAGCATGTCTTGGATTGTGGATGTGCTCTCGTGACAAGTGACAACTATCACTAAACTTTGCTCAACCAGTATCTGACCATCTTTATCCGTCCAACTGACTGCATGATTTCTTCCTCTTGTCTAATTATCATTGTTTTAACAATGTCTTCATCAGTAAAACATCACAATGATCATTAGTTCCAAATAATTGAATAGAGATGACTTACATGTGATAAATGTGATAAAATAATATCCTTTTCCAAAGTTTTATTTATTGGTTGTTTGTGGTATGATGACAACCGAAAGATTGTATATCCACCAGAAATATGCGTCTCCTTATGAATACGTTGTCGAAATAAATTTCAAACACATTCAAATCGATTGATTGTTATTGATCACCTGACAGACATATCGATCAATCACACACAAACTAATTTCTCTGTCTAAAATGAATAAAATGGCCAATCGATTGCCTGTTTGACTAATAATCCGTTCAGGTATAGGAGTTTGACAAATTACTATGTTGTTAAAGTAAATATTACTGGACGCGAATTTCAGTCGTTTTGAGACAAACTGACAATCAGTTGTTTCGACCTGACCATCTACTACTCAGTAATGTACACATACTATCTCATAATTAATTAGTGATATATTATCGGTCAGAACATCCGATTTTCAATCACTGCATTGAAAGTCTGAATCCTGTCGTGTTTATCTCATTCACATCGGCTAATCCGACAATGATAGTGTAGATGCAAGTCTATAAATCATGATTTCATCAAACGGTGACTCTTCAGTTAGTGTGTGATGAGATTCAATAATACTTTATTCATTTCTGAAACTGTCTACTGCTGAAACAATCTACCACGATATCAACAAATGCCCACAACTATTCCAGTGCATTATTAATATTAGTAAGTTAGGATTGTGAGAAAAATCGCCTTGGAATCACTGATTTGCAGCTATTTGTGTTCTGAATAAATGTGGACATACAATTTTCTTAAGAATGCTGAAAATCGTACTGAATATACTCCAATTTCTTCATTATACTTCAGTAGACTGTATGTGACTGTATGCGTAAATTGAATTCATGTCTGTGGTGGTGTTTCGTACTCTGAGCTGGATGTTTTGGTTGTGGAGCTTCCGTTGTTCTTCTGAAAAACACCATCACTACAAACATCTGTTGCAAGTCTATTTTCAATAGTCTGAGACTATACCATTTTAAACATTATATGGTTGGATTTAACCGGAGATATGAACAGCTTAATTATATCTGACTGGCTGTCTGGTTGGCTGGCTAGCTGAAACCACTTGTATTCCCTTATCACTCGAGATAATGTCACAATAACTATAATCCATATCAATGTACTGTTTCTCAGAATTGAGGCGGACTGTGGTATGTAGTGTCCAATGAGAGTGTATCCAACGTATGACTTGTACCAAACGGATTGCTGCGTCTTACCGTTTATATTCGTCAACTTGAAGTTGATTCAATGTTGTAATAATTGCTATTTCCTTACTCAAATATTGGACTTATCTATGTCTCGTTGCATTTATGAAGTGTGTAAGAAAGTTATGTACAACTTGTAGAAATATCACGCTAATAGAAGTATTACCTTCAATTTCATATTTTATTGTTTTTTTTTGTGTTTTAGGAATCTTATCATCTAATCAGTGAAGAAGTAGAAACAGAATCGAAGCCAAATTCTTTTTCTAATATTTTGAAACAATATTTACACTTTCTTGGATAACGGTATTAATTTCTCTCTCCCACTCCCTCTCTATCTCCATTTCACTTGTCTCACGTAGGAGTAATATTGCCGGCTTAGTTTGACATATTTGTATCTATTTTTCGTTAAAAACTGTCTGCTTGCTTGTTTGATGTAAAGTTATGATTGCCAACACATATAACCTCTGAACACATGTACATATTGATTCTAATAATGACAGGTTTTATGAGTATTCTCTGCGAAAATGTGCTTTCAAAATATTATCATTAGTTTCACAACTATGCAGTTGCTGTCTTTTTTGATGTACAAACTAATATGAATATCATTATCAGTAAACTTTACCATAATAGAAAGGACCATTATTGAATTGATAATGTTATCCTCTTTGATTTTAATAAGCATTAAAGCACTAACATTCATCCAACTTAGGCAAGTGTAGTTCATTTTGAGTGATATTGTTCGTGTCAGTTAGTTAGCTAGCTAGTTAGTTTACCGAATTATTTGTAAAATGAAGTGTGGAATAAATATTGAGCGACTTGAGTTGCTGACGTGCTAGACGAAGGAGTCTTAATAAAATGAATGGTAAATACGTTCACCTAATGTATTGACATTGCCAACAAGAAAGACTAAACATTTGACAGTATGGTTCATAAAAGCGAAATAAAATGTGTATGTTAAAGGATTACTGCATTTTGTCAATTGTTGGTAATGTTTAGAAAATTAATTGGTATAGGCCGTCAACATATTCCCCCATGTTCATACATTGTTCAAATGTGATGAGTTTAACTGTATGAGGTAGACATTTCTTGATTTGAACAGCAACATTTATGCATCTTTCTCAATTAATCCACACTGCTATCCATGTTGAATATTTGGAATCAATCAGTAAGATAACATAAACCTGGCTTGCAATTTTAGCTGGTTCTTGTCAATAGAGATGTGGTACATTGAATAGATTCTACTGAATGGAACAATATAGTTTTTTTTGTTTTCTCGGTCAATAGTTATCCTGTACATGTTCGTTAGCAAAGAATGTACCCATCTAGAAGGCAGGTAACGTTTTTTTTATAAATTGAATCTACCCTAATTGTCATCCTCATCCAACTGAATTCACATTGTCAGAATGTAGTTGCGTAGATCATTGAGTTTCATTGAATTCGTGATCCGATCAATGTTCGATCTAGAATCACAAGATCGACCCTAAAAGTTCCGTTGTCAGTAAAATAAATTTGTCTGAAATAGTAAAGTATTATAACATATGTTTGCGAAATCTTTTTACATGGTGATACACAAATCATATTGAGCTAATTTGAAGCGTACTCTCACCAGTCTGAGACCTAGGTGGACCCAGATATTCAGTCTCCTTGTCCAGTGATGTCTCACTGTATCAGTGCGAGGTTATTGTCTGCAGTCGAAGAACATTTGATACTACATGGTAGCTACCAAACGAAACAGTGGTGTTGATGGATAACCTAGAGGGAAACGATTCAAAGTCAGATGATTGACAATGTAGTGACTAGGATTCACTGATATCAGTTACTTGCTGTATTTCAGATGTGTTAAGTACTTCTTCGGTGTACAGGAGAGATGAATCACCTTCACCGGTATTCGGGAGAATTTTCTCTATGAAGTTTGCGCCACTATTCTTTATACTGTGAAATTTAATCCGTGAGCAATCACAGGTGAAACACGCAACTGGCCTTGTGAGTAGGATTATTACTCTACTACTTACAACGGTACCCGAATATAACACTGAGTATTTTTTTCTCGATCACCCCCACACTATTAAATGTCGGTTTACTCATTAATATCGGATCAGTCGTCAATGAACCTTTTTCTTCGATTTTTTTGTCAGCTGTCTTTCAAGGTCATTGGAGGTTCTCTGCTCCAGTCTCTCTTGATCTCATCGATTTCTCACCGACAACGGAAAACATCCAGCTTCCAATGGGCGATTGAAATGTTTAACCTCTTTAAAATACATAAACTGAATTTCACTTTAGACGAACTAATTTGCCGGCCACATTCAAACTAAGGTAAAAGTACTGTAAGGTGAATATGGTTGTTTCCATCGAATGTTCACCTTCTAAGTGCTTCACCGCCAATATCAGCACACATGTTCACTTCCTGTTCTTTTCAAGCGTTGACTGTCCCTATAAATTATTTTTCTACTTCAAACCTCACATGTTTTTACTGTCTCAGATCATTTCCTTTAGGCTGGTTAGTAACATTAACAGCACAACAACTGACACAACTTACTTACTTACGCCTGTTACCCACAATGGAGCATAGGCCGCCCACCAGTTTTCTCCAACCAACTCTGTCCTGGGCCTCTCTCCAGTTCTGTCCAACGTTTGTTCATTCCTCTCATATCTTTCTCTATTTCTCGGCGTAATGTATTCTTTGGCCTTCCTCTTTTCCTTTTGCCTTGAGGGTTCTATGTAAAGGCTTGTCTCGTGACGCAGTTAGGTGCGTTCCGCAATGTGTGTCCTATCCACATCCACCGCTTCTTCTTGATTTCCTCTTCCACTGAAATCTCGTTTGTTCTCTCCCACACTACGTTGTTGTCGATCGTGTCTGGCCAACCAATCCGAAGTATTTTGCGCAGACAGCTGTTAATAAACACTTGTATCTTCTGGATGATGGCTTTCGTAGTTCTCCAAGTTTCCGCTCCATACAGTAGAACTGTCTTCACATTTGTATCGAAAATCCTGATTTTGGTTTTCGTTGAAAGTTGTTTGGAGTTCCAGATATTTTTCAACTGTAGAAATGCAGCCCTCGCTTTGCCAATTCGTGCCCTCACATCTGTATCGGATCCACCTTTCCCGTCGATGATGCTGACCAGATATGTTAAGGTGTTAACGTCCTCCAAGGTATCTCCATCAAGAGTGATTTGGTTGGTGCATATTGTGTTGCATCGGAGAGTTTTGCTTTTTCCTTTATTTATGTTGAGACCTACTGCTGCAGAGGCTGCTGCTACACTGGTCGTCTTCTCTTCCATTTGTTGTTGCGTGTCAGATAGAAGAGCCAGATCCTCTGCGAAGTCCAGATCGTCCAGCTGCGTCCTAGCTGTCCACTGAATACCGTGCTTCCTTTCAGATGCTAATGTCTTCATAATCCAGTCGATGACCAGGAGAAAGAGTGAGAGTAAGCAACCTTGCCTGACACCAGTTGTAGAATCCTTTTTGAATGTTTTGTTTTTTGGAAAATCCCTCCATGTTTACATATTTTGTTATGACATGACGGACTTTTTCTGTTGACATTTTTGGTATTTTATTTGATTCCAATTTGAGATTTTATCATTGTATATTGTTATTCTTTCTATATTTTGTACTTATATTGAAGTTTTTGTGTTTGCTTCTGATCTGTATATATGTTGTTTAAATTTGATCTTTAATATGGCTACAGCCATATTTGGATTGATACAGTGGCTGTTGGACTTAACGTCACTTATTTATCGTTGTTTCTGATACTCTTCGGAGTAATTGTATCCTGGAAGGTGTATTAATTCCAGGTACTGCTTGTATTTCCATGTTTTTATTAATAAAGACACTTTCTCCTAGAATTTTTGCTTTATC